AGCCTTGTGCCCCAGTCTTTGCCTTTTAATCACAGAATCCGCTCAAAGGGCTGTGGCGTATATTCAAAGGAAAAATTTGTAAGGCAAAACTCTGGAAAATCTATACGATGACTGCATGCGAGGTTTAACAAGAACAGCAAATAAAACACACTTGATGGAAAATCTGTAACTGTGTTGTACTGATGACTAGAAGTACACAGAAGTGCTAAGTGATCTGCAGATACCTGCCAGGGCAACCCATCCATATGCAAAGGTCTCCTGAGCTAGACAGTTTTCAAGTTGGTCAAGCAATTCTTTTTATTTAGCAAGGGGGAAAGGAGAGAGGGTGGGTTAACAGGTTTGACAGCAAAAAGTCTGGATCACAAAATGCATATTCTTTGAGAAAGACTCAGTTCAGAGCTGGATCCATCTCTGGTGCTTGGGTTCATTTTGTTAACAAAATCAGAACGTATCCCAAACGACTCGTTCAACAGGAGGCGAAGTACTGCCCTTCTTGCAATGACTTCCCTGGATCTGATCCAGGGGTCATTAAAGTAGTGAGAGCCGAGGGACCTCTTACGGTATGTGATTTCAATTTTTATTTTTTTTTTTCCAAATTGCCTCTATAAAGCCTTTTTCTTTAGTGCCACAATCTCCCTCATATACAAAGCCTAAAACTGGCAGCTGCTTCTGTTTCCACTACAATACGGTTTCCATAGTCATATCTGTACTTTTACATGCATACATGGCAATTTAATTCTATAGAATGCTTAAAGAACGAACCACAGGGCTAGGATTGTCCTAACCCTGGTTTTGAGGCTTGAAACCCACCAGAAAATAAAAAAAAAACCAAACCCAAACCCTCAGCAAGTGCCAGACCTGTATCCCCACCAGAATGGGTCAGCCACGGGGAAGGGCTGCAGAGCGGGTGCCTTGCACATCTGCACGCACACATTTGTGAGTGCAAAATTCTGCCCGTGTAAATTCTTATGTGTCCTACCTATTGTACAGCCCTTTGGGAAGGCAGTTCAGTGAAACCCATCAAGATCGAAGGATGCCCAGAGTGCAGTCTCTGTCTGTCCAGGTTTCATCCCACAGCCCAGCCTGAATGAAGATGAGCCTCACTCAGGCGAACGCTTCTGCCACCGACTGCTCGCTCACGGAAAAGAAAAGAGCCTCAGATGACAGGACAGGAAGAGCTGGGAGAGACACGGGATCAGCTTAATGATGAGAACACCTTCCTCAGAGAGCCGCACCGTCCTCTGGCCGCTGGCCCCGGGCGGGCAGTCACGGCGTCAGCCTGCAGAATTATGCACACGAGCACTTGTTCGTCAGAGGGCACCAGAGGATTTTGGTTTTTTTTTCCTGGCTGTGTGCTAAAGGCTGCTTTTGCTTCTTGAACAGGCGGTGCTGTGTCCCTGGCATCTGAAGCCCACGTATTTAATGCCGGAGCCCAGGCTTAGTGGGCAGCGTTACCGAGGACTCACACAATGCTCAGGATGGGACTAACCTTGCCCAAAGCTGCAAATGGGGAGGTTTAATTTTACCCTGTGAGAAATCTCAGTGGAGAGACTCACTTAACCAAAAATGTGCATGGGCATGCAGATCTGCAGAACTAAGGCTTTCACACGTGTTACAAACATACATCTGAGGGTCTTAACATTTATGAAGCACCTCAAATTCCCAAGGCATTTCACAGGTTATATATACAAAGAATATTGTCAGCCAGGTCCTGCTTTAGGAAAACATTTCCATTTGACACAGGGGCTTAATTATGCTCATAGAAGACCTGTTGAAAATCATGTGATTTTGGTACAAGTCCAAAATTAGTCGTAAGTGTGTTTCTGAAGAAGGACGGAATAAAACATTTACTTAAGTGCTTTCCTAAGTTCTGGCTCCAGGGATGTGTAACCTGGCTTTGCACTCGCAATCGCTTCATCAGCGCTCAGAGCCGTACAATACCTGAGGACAGGGATGGAAAAACATCTTTCCTGAGTGAAACTGTGGGTAAAAAAAACCCTGGGAAAACAAAAGCAGAAAGAATCCTGACCCAGATTTTCTGGGCCACCTCTTTTGAAAGACCACAGTACGGCGATATGTGAAAACGTCGCACCCAGCCACTCTGCCAGTTGCCACCTGTGGACCCCGAGGGACCACATCTACTCTGGGATACTTAGGAAAAGGGCATGCACAGTGCAATCCCTCTCCGAAATCCTTCACTAGCTCCTAGGAATAGGGGCAGGGTCTCGGTTACCATCTATGTGATGGCCCTTTGAGCACAGCTCCCTTTAATGATTTTGCTGGGCAAAGGACCCAGCTCAGCATCAGCTGGGAGTTTCACCTCCTGCCTTGCTTTTCCGCAGAGCTTGCTTGCTCTGCTGCGTTGCGGGTGACTCCGTTATGGCAACAGATCATTGGTCAATCTATCCATGGAGATTAACTTAATTAAGTTTGTGAAATAAAACGAAGACTTTGCTGACAGCTTCTCTGAAACCAAGATAGTTTGGCCAGGAGTTTTTTGTCTGTGTGCTGGGCTGCAGCGGGGGGTGGATGCTAAAGGATCGCTGACAACTCGGACATTGTGTCCGTGATGTTCCTGTGACATTCAGCACCCGGGCTCCAGTGCTAGGGAAGGAAGTGTTCCAGTGTGTGTACTTTCCACAGGGAGACCGACCTGACTGTGTGCAACCCGCTTCGCTCTTTCCCCTGCAGTCATTTAGAGATGAGTTTCATTCCTGTGTGAAGGGACAATATTTGGTGTAAGCACCACTTACATCCCATTTCAGCGTTATTTCCAGAGCTTAAGCGGAGCTGAAGCGGTACCCTGTGCAGACTCTGTTGTGCAGGAGTAAATTTCAGCATCGGTTCCCCTGATGCTGTGGGCCTTTCCCATAGCAGCAAGGAACAGAGAAGACATTAAAGAATAAGGAAAATATGATTATAGAACCACAAATATTGCCAAGGCTGACCTAGCTGCGCCCTCTGGAACAATCTCTAACTTTCTTTTTAAACCAAGCAGATTTCCAGCTGCCTGCATCTCTTTAATTAAAAAGAGATGTCCTTTCAAATGGCTTATAAAAATGTAACAGCACATTTCCGGATCATGGTTTTGAAGGATGATTAGGCTGTGCTCCTTTGTCTCAAAGTTATCCTGCAATTTAGGGACTAAGAACATCAAAAAAATTAAGCTATAAACCCAACTGAGTTCTAACTGGACCGAAAAGCATGGAGTATAATTTTTCCTTCTTCCTGTGCTAAAGAAGCAAGTTGGCCAAAATTTCAGGGATAGTTCTGAACACATTTGTTCCTGAGTAAGATCTGACAAACCAAATTTTGGCTGGAAGTTGGTTTCCACATCTAACGAGTAAATCCACAATGAGATTAAATGCAGCAAGAAGCCTAATAGTTGCATTTTGAGATGCTGCCATGACACCATCAAGTCAAAATGTTTGACCTCTCCATGAAATTTCGATGCAAGATGAATTGTTGATTCTATGGACTTACTCAGGAGGCAGTAATGTGATTCAAATCATCTGACTGTCAACGGGAACCATTTACTCTTGTATAACAGTAAGCTAAAAATGCTTCTTCACAGTTGAGTATTTTGACTGAAAAACAAAATCGTACACTGAACAAGTAATGATAAGCTTTCCTCTGGAAAGCAGAGCTCAGGATGAACTAAATAATCATTGGAGGTCATGATCATTTAGGTGTTTTGATTTATGTTCTGTTTATCTTCAAATTCCCTCCCCTCCACCCAAAATAGTTTGGTGTGTGTATATATATATATATCTATATGCAAACTGCAAGTATTCCATTATGCTGGCGACAATGTTGACAGGGACTCTGGAGGACAACAAACCACCTGAACTCTTGTGTTCGATAACAAGCAGGCAAAAACTGCCCTCAACACATAAGTGAAACACACTAAGAAAAAAACCCCAAACATTTCAACCAGCTGCCTCCTGCTTCATCGGCAATTTCTGACACTGATATCAGCATCTCCAAAGCCTTTCTAAGAATATTCTTGCCATCCACGTAATGCACAGCTGTTAACAAGCAGCCTCTGGAAACCTCTCAGACATGCCTTTAGCCTACCGGTCAGATTTTGGTCTGTAAAATTAAGAGAAGACATGATGTTATACTAGATCTTTCTTTTCCAGCTACTGAATTGTGACTTGAAGGAAGACCATTAGTGTCCTGACAACTGCTAATAGCATAAAATATAGCAAAGGACTACAAGGATGGAGTGAAGCTTTAAGCTTTTCTTTCCCCCTTCACACTGTACGATACTTGTCTAGAACCGAGCTCTAAGTAAAAGCCAACATAATGCAGTTTTAACCCAAATCTCAGCCATCTCTGTTAATTCAGAGCTCTCTTACAAACGAAGTCCTTCAGAACATACCATTTCCAAGGCTCCCACTTAATGAAAGCAGGCTTCACATTAATGCAGGGTGCTGGTGCACCATCCTTCTGAAGCCACATGTACTTCATGCAGAAACAACAAGGCAATGATAAATCCTGGAGTCAGATCATGAAATAGCCAGTGAAAGGGAATTCGGATTTCTGGATTGAACTCTTGAAAAAGCTGGGGTCAGTCAACAAAAACAGAGTGTCCATCCATAACAAACTATGAACAAACAAAAAACCGTAACAAACATATGTCTTCTCAAAAAAAAAAAAACAAAAACCTGATCGAACAAGTGTAGAAAACACTCAAGGCTGTCATTTCAGTTGCGTATTTATGAGCCACTGAAGAGTTACATGACTGCTCTCAAGCACATGGGTAAACTGGAGGCGTTCATCTCCCATGTGAACAAAATGAACGTATGTAGATGATGAAACCGCATCCAGGCAGACACAACTGTTGCTATTGCTTTTCGTGACCATCTCAGAATGGAGTGTGCAGGAGTGACAGTGCTCTGGAGGCATGTGCATGACTGATCCAAATCCTAGAAAGCTGACTCGGTCCCTCCCTGTGACCCTTCCTGGTAGTTTAGCGTTGGATCTCTGTTTGTTTTTCAAGACTTCACCTCTTCGCAGTCTTGATCAGTGGAAAGCTCCACATCGGACAGTCCAACCTCCATTGCCATAATCAATGAAATATCTGAATCGCTGCTGACTGCTGGCTCCTGTTCATCTGTGAGGGTAGAAAAGACAGGAAAAGGGCATTATGGTCAACATATTACTCTTTTTTAGTTCTGCAGATGGGACCCAGAGGTTTCTCCACCACTGAGGTTGTGCTTAGATTCCAAACTTTGCTCTTATTCAATATCTGTCTAAAGCATCTCAAAAATACCAGAAAGTTCAAACCATCAGTAGCAAGAAACATGGTGACAAGGAGCCTGGATGGGTAACACTTTCTTCTCCTTCTAATCCTCCCAGGGGTCTCCATCCAGGCCCTTCATCTCCACGACCTTCTTGCCACAATCTGAGCACTTCCCTCCCAGCCCCCTTTCACTTCCTCAACCCTGCATCATCCTGCTCTCCCCACAAAGGCAGCATGTTAAGGACAAAGTCACAGGCAGCTGGTGGAGTGAGTCAGCCATCAGGAAAACATTTCTAACAGGAAAAAAATCTGCCCTAACCCTCATTAGGGGACAGAAGCTCTGTCAGTGGAGACTTTGAAGAGGGTGCTAGGCTAATGTCTGTAAGGAGCAACATGGGTGTTGTTAGTTCTGCCCTCAGGACCAGGCTACCTGCCTTCTCTCATCCTTTTCCAGTCTCTTTCCTATTCACCCTTTCCTCTGATTAGCAGATACCTTGCAGGTTCTTGATCCAGGCCGAAGGGATCTACCTTAATCCACCATGATCCCAAATACAGTAAGAGTCAGATTACTGACTTTTGCCAAACTGCAAATCCCATCAAAACTCCAAGCATAGGAGGAGTAACTTGTTTTTGTTTTGATCCCACAGCAGGTACTATGTGTGTATTTAGTAGCAGATAAAGCAAACAGTTTTAAAGGACTAAAAGCTAATTTTATTTCAAAAACAATCAGAAGAAGCAAAGCACACTGGGTCTCTGGGGATATCACAAAAATCCCATAGGTGGCTGACACCCTGAGAGAAAAAGTTGATGGTTGATATTTTCAAGTGGTTTAATTACAGTGGCGATATTTATACTGTAACAATACAAAGTATTTAAATCTGTGGCAGTTTTTCTTTTACATATTTTATTTTTCAGACAATAGAAGCCGACCTTGATTGATGCTAAAAAGTCTAAAAGTTGAATATCTAAGAATTAATAAGTAAGAAACATTACAGAGGAGCCAGGAAAATAATAACTCCTCACAGTTTAATTATTCACTTGAAGCTAAGTGAGCACAATTAGTCTCCTCTCAAGAGCTGCATGATTTTTAAATCTGTTTTAGAGAAAAAAATATGTATTTACTTGTGCTGGGATTAGACGTCATGTTCTGCGGTGAAAGCCTGAGCGGGGTCTGCATTATTCAAATTGAAAGAGCCAGTGCTTTCCTTTACAACCCTTCCCAATTTTCACCATGGATTATTTTTATACTTTCTTGATTGCAAGATAAATAATTAATGCACACAACCTCTTTATAGCTCTGTATTTTTTTCCTATCAATATGACAGTAGTAAAACATTTCAAGGCATTGCTTCTGACTATAAATGGAGGTGGGGGAAGTACTTACGAACTGAATGACATCTCCTGCAGACTTCAGTGGGCTTCAATTACATTGAAATATTAGGTGAACTGCTAGATCCAAGAGCACAAAAGTACATCACATACACCTCCATCGACCTAAAGCATCATCTGTCGCGGTAACAGCTCCCCGAGCCAGAATGATGTGGTTCCCGACCACTGGATTATTTATCATTCCTCTACGAGTAATAGGATTTTTAAAAACAATGAAAACGATGCTTTAAACGTTGACCTAAGAGCAAGTTTATATTTGCATGATGGAGTTTCTGAGGCTTAGCCATGCTAAGGAGCCACTTGGAGCAGTCTTGAGAGAAAGGTGGTTTTCACCTGAGCTAGCTGCGCAGGAAAGGAGGATGGGCTGAACGGTGACAGCCCCGCACACGCTCCTTGAGGAGGCAGGCTGAGCTGCCAACACCAAATGTCAGAGCGTCAGATGAGAAGTGTTTATGGTGCTGAAATGTTATTTCAAGAATTGCTTCTTCTAGGGTTGCACAGGATAAAAAGACCTCAGCCGAGTTCAAGATGGGCAGATAGAACAGAGGCAGATTTACAGCTCACCTACCTAGCCTATGTACAGGAGCAACCACTTTCCAAACCAGCAAGCCTGAGTTCTACATTAAAAATCCTATACAACTGTTCAAATTCTCAGATCTCAGTCTTTCACAGTGTGGGCTTTGTAGTTTATCGTCTTTGTGACGGGAGTGCAGGTCAGTAGGAACAATGAACAAAGGATCCTAAAAATGCCCATGCCTGTGCCCTGGCATTGCTTTCCCAGTGCTGTGAAAGTGCCTAGAAACACGAATGCTCCACCTTCCTCACTTGCTAACAGTGCAGCGGTTCAAAATGACACCAAGCTGAGTGGTGCGGTTGACACACCAGAAGGATGGGATGTCATCCAGAGAGACGTGGACAGGCTGGAGAGGTGGGCCTGTGTGAACCTCATGAGGTTCAACAAGGCCAAGTGCAAGGTCATGCATCTGGGTCGGGGTAACCCCTGGTATCAATACAGGCTGGGGGAAGAAAGGATTGAGAGCAGCCCTGCCGAGAGGGACTTGGGGGTGCTGGTGGATGAAAAGCCTCAGCACAAGAAGGACATGGAACTGTTGGAACGGGTCCAGAGGAGGGCTACAAAAATGATCCGAGGGCTGGAGCACCTCTCCTATGAGGACAGGCTGAGGGAGTTGGGCTTGTTCAGCCTGGAGAAGAGAAGGCTGCGGGGAGACCTGATTACGGCCTTTCAATACCTAAAGGGGGCCTATAGGAAAGATGGGGAAAATCTTTTTAGTAGGGTCAGCTGTGACAGGACAAGGGGTAATGGTTTTAAACTAAACCAGGGTAGGTTTAGACTGGATATAAGGAAGAAATTCTTTACAATGAGGGTGGTCAAACACTGGAACAGGTTGCCCAGAGAGGTGGTCGAAGCCCCATCCCTGGGAACATTCAAGGCCAGGTTGGACGGGGCTCTGAGCAACCTGATGTGGTTAGCAGTGTCCCAGCTCACTGCAGGAGGGTTGGACTAGGTGGCCTCTAGGGGTCCCTTCCAACCCAAAACATTCTATAATTCTATGAAAATCTTAAAGCTACAGCCTGCCGCCTCAGCAGAGTGGGGAGAAAAGCTTGGACGCCACCATCCCTTACATCGTCCAGGGAAGGGCTCAGCACTGACATTTCTTTGGAAGACGCAGACAACACAAGGAAATTAAGGCATCCCTCAGCATTACATGCTTGCTTTTGGAGTCCTACTACTGGCCCCAACACACACGGGATGAAACATCTGGGAGGCTGCAGAAGTTGCACCAGACATAGACCAGCTGTAGGTAACTCTGGCTGCAAGGTCTACAGACTGCCTCACCGTGGCTCCCCTGTGGTGGTTTGGTTTTTTTGTTTTGTTTTGTTTTTTTTGGCTGGCTGCTCAATAATGTGAGCCAGCAGTTAATGACATTTGTTAAAGGTAAGCAAACCTCAACTAAACTGCAAGTGCCAGGAGCTTAGCCTGCATTCTGCATCTCTGGTTTTTAGATCCTACTTACAATGACAAAGCTCGTACAATCACACAGCTTCTACAGGAGATGCCTGACTCACCATTCAGAACTTCTATGACCTTTTTGCAAGTTTTTTGAAATCTGGTGTTCTTCTTAGAGGCCTGAAGTCAGGTGAGAAGCTCAACTTTCAGTGAAGATCTCAGCTTTCACTTAAAAATAAATGAATCTTAAGAAGTGAAAAGGAAATAAAGAGTTTAAAAAACCATATCCCTAATTTCTAAACAGATTTTATGTTGGAATATCTGACATGATTTTAGACGTTTGAGATTGGCAATCCTGTCTAACAACACACACTATAATACTTGCACCGTGTTTTATAGCCCTTCACGCCACAGGCATAAAGCCTTTTGCTTAATGAAGCAAAAGGCACATCCCAAGCTGCTTTTCAGCCTGGGCGCTGGTGCCTACAGCAGGCAACTGTAGACCTCCCTGCCACATTCCTCTCATGTCAGCGAAACGCAATACCCCACAGCACGCTGCCCACTTCCAGACAGACTTTTTCCACTTGCTTATATTCCCTGACACACATTCGTTTGAGCGGTGCAATAAACCAAACTCCTTCTCTAGCCAATATTAATTTAAATTTAATTATGCTAATGCAGGAAGAATATCACCACGTAGATACAGAACTGCCCTACATAATAGTGGTACAGCCCTCACTTGTTGCAAAGTTCATTAAGTGATGTTTATATTTGAGTATAATTGCAATCAAACAAGGATGAAAATAACTAATTACTCTGGTGCTTTAAAAACAGTAAGACTGAACACTACTAATAGTTATCTACTGCTGCTGCTGTTCCTAACACTTTGAGTAGGTCTGTAGATGTTGTATGCTAATAAATATTCCAAAAGAAAAAGATCAGACGATGGGTTTCCAAGAATTTGATATTGTTTGCAAGAGTCTTTGGAGAGACCTAAGCATACAACAGTGAGTGAAAAGTTCATTTACAAAAACGTTGCTCTACCACGCGTAGGTAAGCATACAGGCACGGGCACAGATCGAGCTGTACTTGTAATGAGCCGCCCAAGGATGAGGAACAACCTGATGTACCTGTGGTGGGTTTTGCATGCACGGAGGCCTCGCTCCTGCTCACCCCTGTGCTCCTCCCAAGGAGGCCACTGCTGACACTGGGCTCTGATGTCCCTAGGACATAGGCATGGGGGTCTCCTAAAATTGCTCCTGCTTGCCCCAGAGGCTGAGATTTCCCCTGAGCTCACAGAGCTGGAAAAGCTGTGGAACCCCATGACTGGGCTAAAAGGTCCACAAGCAATTTGCATCTGGGAAATCAGCAGAAAAATAAGAGCACACTAAAATGTTACCCGGCAAAAGCTTCTCAGCATTGAATGCATCTAAGGTTTGTCTAAGATGACAGACTTTTTTCCTTCTCTGGACCTTCAGGTAGCTCTCTGCTGTTACACCCATTTGTGAGTAAG